ACAATGGTGTTAAAGAGAACCACCAAAATAGGCCCAATAAGCCCACAGATGACTATTATTTAGCAAAATCAAAGTTTTGAGAATGTGTGGTTAAAAAGTAGAAAAAAATTTAGGTTTATGTGCAGAATATTTTATTGTTTAATTGTGTGGTTAAAAATGAATATTTAGAATAAAGGGTTTTGGAATAATAGTTGTCAAACATGAGTTTGGATAAGACACAAATATTACTCATTTTTTACCAGTCATTTGGTGGCAGGGACGGATGGAGGGGGGGCTGGCGTGGGCTAACCCCCCCCCCCACCCCCACCGATTTTTTTTAATTAGGAAAAAAAATTATGTAAAAAAAAATGGTAAATTTTATTTTTTTTACGTATTAACCCGACATGTAATTCGGTCCTGGATCCGTCCATGTTTGGTGGAATCCGCCATGGCGACCCTGGACCAAAGCCACCAAGGCAGGAGTCTATGGCCTCATATTTTTAGGGGCCTCAAAAAAATTGAAAAGCTGTATTTTTTCTGCAAGTAGTAGTAATGAAAGAGTCGAATTTTTGAAGCCTGGTGAACTGTCCTCTCACTAAATCTTACCATTTGGAGCCAACTGAATTAATCAAATTCAGATTGCAAATTAATGAACAGTGGAAACAAAAGCACGGAGTGTGCATTCATGAAGACTTGACAGTTTGTAGCCATTTTTAGTGAATTATACAAATTTTATATTAATGAAACAGTTGGAGCAGTCTCGAATCCTGATTTTAGACAATTACACTAAAATAACAAATGGACAGGAAAGTGATCAGGTTAGTATAGATAAATGGCTTTGAGATTCAGAACCTGAGAACTATGCATGCATTCATTTGGGTGCGTTTGGTTGTCAATATTTTTCATCGAAAATGTATTTTTTTCCACTCAAATTCTTACTTTGGTGTTGTTTGATTTACATTTTTTCATTAAAAACATTTTCCTATTTTTTTGTCACGTGATCATATTTTCATCAAAATCAAATAAAATATTTTCTTTAGGGGGAGTAGGATTTTATTTTTCATGAAATTCACTCCCTCTTATCTAGCCACTCTCTTTCATCTACGTACTAATAAAAAATGGACATGTACAATATTTTTTAGGTTGAAAACTAAATCAATCTAACACATTTAATTAATAATTTTCATACAAATAAATTTTAGACAATTTATTTTCTTTTCATACTCACAATTAAACGCACTCTTATTAGATTCTCAATGAATTTAATAGATTCTGCATGAAGGGACATTGATACTGGAGAATTTTATTTATTTAAATGATGTTTAACAATGAATTAGATTAAATGATATTTTTTTAAAAGGCCTATTTGTTTTAGAAGGTTTTTTTTTTTTAAAGTTGGTGCACTTAAAATTTTTGTCTTTCATGAAGTGTTCAATTACAACGTCTAAAAATTTAAAGTAGTTAGACTATAGTATATTACTTGTATAAATTTGCATAACCTTTGAATTGGTCGTATTAGCGTTTGTTTTTAATTAATCAAGTAAGAAAAATGAAAATGTTTTATTTTGCTCCTCAAATAATTCTCGATAAAACTTATGAATATCAATCTCATCCTTATAATCTTCCTGAGATTTTTCACTATGTTCTTCATCCTCACCATCAGAGGTATCACTCTAAGCATTCAAATTTGATTCGTCATCACTCAAGGTCACTTACGAGTTACGCCTTCCTTTATTCAAATTCTTCTTCAAGTTAGGACATTCATTCCTATAATGACCAAAACCCTGACATTCATGACATCAAACTGACTAAATTTTCTTATTGAAAGTTTTAGGGTTATTCTTCTCATACTTATCGTTCGAAAATTTACTAGGGACATCATTTTTTCGTTCTTGAAGTTTTCTCCTATTCCTCTCCGCTTTTTAGAACTTTTTAACGAAATAAGTTATTTCGTCTTCCTTAAGGGTCTCAGTATCAGTCGACTCACTCTCTTTTTCCCTAATAGTGTTCATGGCTATGGATTTAACATTTTTCGGTTGAGATATGATGAGTTCATAAGTTTGAAAGGATCCAACAAGTTCTTCTATCTTAACTGCATCTAAATCCTTACTTTCTTCAATCGCGATGATTTTAGATTTAAACCTTTCAAGTATGAATCTAAGTATAAATTTAAAGTAGTTAGAATACAGTATATTATTTGTATAAATTTTCATAACCTTTGAATTGGTCTTAGTAGCGTTAGTTTTTAATTGATCAAGTAAGAAAAATGAAAATGTTTTATTTTGCTACTCTATCTTTTAGATTTTATAAAACTTTCATTACAATATAAATATGTAATTATTTAAATATTTATGCATTGCTACGATTGTAAAAAAAAAATATATGTTTAATCACCTAATAAAAATTAATCATCTAAAAGCCTCAAAATTTTTAGGACCTGCCCTCGAATCCGCTGCTTTTTCGTATCTGAAATAACGAGATTCGACCCAAACTACACCAGATGAGGGGTAAATAGGTGATTATGTGGAATTAAAGCTTAATAATTAATTAGCAACAAGTCACGATTAATTATATCTAGATGGTTAATCAAATAGTACAATTTTTCCTATATTGAAATACCGCAATTATGAAAACAATAAACAAACACAAGGAATGTTCACGGAGAAACCACAACCGGATAAAATCTCATGGCACTTTGCTAGTTAGAAATTCACTATAAACGAATTATGAACTTACGGTCCGCCAGACACGACTACCACTAGTACTTTCTGACCTCCTGACTGCAATACCCATAGCTCTCCTAGATTGCGTACTTCTGCACCAACTCCTATCTGCAGTTTTCAAAACCTCCTGGATTGAGCGCTCCTACAACAGCTCCCAATTTCATCAATTCATATATCTCCTGTGGATCAACGAATAACTCCACAAAGCTTATAGATGAATTGGAATAAGAGGATAATAAGCAATATGAGTTTTTTTCAATGATGAACCTTCTGAAAATCATTAGAGGTGTTTGGTATTTATAGTTTAGGTTTTGGGGTTAAATGAGTCGGACAAAAAGCCTTCGGGAAACCCTTGTCGCTCGAGCAAAGTCCTATCGATAGGCTACCGACAATGTTACTGTTTTTACCACTCGAGCCAAGTAATGACGATAATCTAGCAAAGTTGCGGCGCCCTTTTTCCTTCTTTTCCATTCTCGAACACTAGACCTAATGCAACCCAATTTCTATTATTTACAACTTACTCCTTGACTTTTACAATATATTAAATTTAGTCAATTTTGTTCACAGACTTACCAGTTACATAAAAAACCTAACAGTGTCAAAATTA